GCGGTATACAAATATAGTAAATAAATAAGATCACTATTATTGCTCTTGCTCTTGGAAATGCACCATTGGACTAGAAAGGTGCTAGATACGTTTGTTTCAGAAGGACTTTTATAGTCTATTGTTGGTCCTACTCCGTTTGCAGAACACCCACACAATGAAGGTCAGCTGATACACGTTCTTCATAGTTATTTCAGGGCCAGGAGAAGACTTTTTTATTTTATTCATAAGCATAAAGGAGACTCAACTTGTGCCTAAAGAGGGAATTAACCACTGCACTACCAAGTTCAACCTATTCATGTTACCCCCATAGGAGTTAAAGCCTACCAGTGTTTGGACCATGTGTGGCCTCTGTAACCTCAAGCTCTTCACCGTCTGAAAGACATCCAGAATCCCTTCAGCCTTGACTCTTTCCAAGACGGTGCCCAATGCACAGAAGGTCCCCGTTCGTCCAGCTCCAGCGCTGAGGAAAAACAGACAAAGAACGTGAATTGGAAATTTAAAAAAATATCTCATGACCTGAGCCATCCTGGGTAAACATGGAAGAACTGTGCAATCCCACGTTGGAGCCACTGTGTGGAGTTAGAACTCTTTCATGTGAGTACGTCTCTAAAATGCATAAGTGAAATTGCCATTCCGCTTAAGGATAGGAAGGTTGGGTAGAAACCAATTTAAGGTAAAGGTAAAGGTTTTCCCCTGACATTAAGTCTTGTCATGTCCAACTCTGGGGGTTGGTGCTCATCTTCATTTCTAAGCCAAAGAGCCAGCATTGTCCATAGACACCTCCAAGATCATTTGGATGGCATGACTGCATGGAGTGCCATTACAGTTCCTGCCAGAGCAGTACCTATTTATCTACTACTACTACTACTACTACTACTACTGTTTGTTTATATAATGCCATTGATGTACATGGTACTTTTCAAAGAATGAAAAAGGCTGTTGATTTTAAAAATAATAAATTAAATCAATCATTAAAAGATACAATAGTTAACACTCATCATTCCTATCAAAAGGCTCCCTGCAAGCAATCACACATTAAAAGCTTACTTGAATAAGAAGGAAACAGGAAGGAGGTCTTGGAGGATAGGATTAGCAAATGGGAACCTCATCTCCTGTGTCCTCACTAAATGATGGAGGAACAGATGCAGTCCTGCCTCTTTCAGCCAACTGCAGGCCCCAAATGGTTCAACTATTATCTGTTTTAGATTTTCTTACACTCCAAATGAAAACTTTTTAAAAACTTTCACAAGTTTTGCCTCGTTATCCCAAGACCCTTCAATGTTTCTAACATGTTTCCTTTGATGGTTTTATTTATTTGGAGTTCTACTTTAATGGCTCTATACTTCATTCTTAAGATGTCCAGAAGTTTTTACTGCTAGTAGTGACTAGGAAGATGCTGCAAAATAGCTAAAGTACTGGCAGGCTCTCCAGATTTGTGGGTTTGCCTTTTGTGGATTTGATTAAACATCTTCTCTCTAGGAATTTCTACATCTTTTGTTGTGACTCTATGCAGACATGGGCCAATTTCGGTGCTTCTTCCAGGTGTTTTGGACTTCACCTCCCACAATTCCTAGCAGCCGGTAGGCTGTTAGGAATTGTAGGAGTTGAAGTCCAAAACACCTATAGGAAGGGCTGAAGTTGGCCCATGCCTGCTCTATAGTCAACATCCACTGAAGGTTGGTCATACAGTCATGCTGGAGGACACTAGAAATTTCTAGAGAGGTGTTTTCTCATGCAAAATAAAGACAACTTTTAAAATTTTGCATTTTTTTACTTTCACGTGGGACTTGTGCTCTGAACCCCAGTGAATGTGAAGGGCTGACTGTAAAACAATAATGCCATTCAGGATTTCTATTAAACCCTATGTGGTCAGTGGCCTTGGGAGGCTGGCGGTATTTTCTGTTTGTCTTCCTGTTTCCTGGAAATGCAGGTGATAATGGGCCAGAAATTTAGGCTGGGATGTATACAGCCTGTTCAATTACCTGCAGTGCACCGTGATCGGATGGTTTCCGGACTGCTGCTGCTGCTTCTGCACAGCTGCAATGATGTTGATCATTCCTTTCCCGTCGGTGGGGATGCCAACCTCCGGCCACCCGTGGAAGTGGAACTGTCGGATCTGCCGGGTCTTGTTTTCCTGGCCAGACAATATTTGGAAACATTCAGAGAGGGCTAAATGTGAACTGAAACACGGGCATGCTACTCTCAAACCAAAGGAAACAGATAACAGCCTATCAATTTCAACCATTTCTTATTATTTTCCTGAACTGCATTCTGCACAATGTTCCTCCCTTGTAAGATAAAGATAGTGAAACTTCAGAGCTGCAGGTGGAAGACTCGGCCCCATGTGGGAGTTCAGGGCCTCTCGGTTCCCAGGGTGACCAGTCTCAGGATAATGCCTTGAAGATGCAGATTTGATTAGGGAGGACCGTTTGTAATTAAGGGTTCGCTCAAGTGCGCGCCTTGCCAACAAACGTGAAATTCGAGGTCAATGTAATGCTTTCATGTTGGTCTGTCCGTTGTCAGTGCAATGTTGCGTATACCCTGTTAACTTCTCTGAAATTACCTCAACTTTTGGGGAAAGCTTCTAGCTCTTTGGGACTTTGGTTTTGCTCTTGATTTCTTGGGACAGAAGGACACGTCCTGGAGCATCAAGGACTGCCATCATCGCTACTTAACCCCAACTTCACAAAACTTACCCGCGTATTTGTCACCATGAGGTCCCGCACTGTGTAGCTCTCACACTCCTCTTCTTTCTTCAGCTCTACGGTAATATCACCATAAGATACCGTCCCATCAGAAGGCCAATACTGGGCACATTTTTCCTAATCAGTCAAAAAATACACAGAGTAAGTTGGAGAATTGAAAGATTTAATCAGATGATACAAGACAAAGCATGAGATTTTCCTGATTTTTTAAATTTTATTATGAGCCCCACTTCTTTCAGAATGAGCTTCATGTATTCCAAGTAGACTGGAACATAGTTAGTCCAAATCTTTTTTTATACTGGTTTTAAACCACTTCATTGGATGTGTTGCAATAGCATATTCCCAGATCAGTTTAGTGTTTACACTTTATTTTATTTTTCTGGTTATTGAATATTTAATGTTTAATTTACTTCAGTGATATTTGTCTTTACTGTTCTAATGTAGCACAAATCCTATGTAAAATCATGCTACGTATTTTTGACATTAATATTGAAATCTGAAATATTTACAGAAAGTTTAAGAAAGTTTCAGAATGGGAAACTTTATTTATTTACAGTATTTATATTCCGCTCTTCTCACTCTGCAGGGGACTCAGGGTGGATTACATATACATGGCAAACATTCAGTGCCATAGACACACAAACATATATACATACAGAGGCTATTTAACATTCCAGCCTTTTCATGAGAGTATTCTTGCCACCAGGGAAGCTAGCCACCAGCAAGCAAGAGTCCAAAAGTGGCAGGCTCAAACCCAGAACCTCAACCAATGGCTGATACCAAATGAGAAACTCCCCCCTGGGCACACAGAGGACTGGGCGACTTGGAAGGCGCTGAACAAACTGCGCTCTGGCACCACAAGATGCAGAGCCAACCTTCAGAAATGGGGCTACAAAGTGGAATCCATGACATGCGAGTGCGGAGAAGAGCAAACTACAGACCACCTGCTGCAATGCAACCTGAGCCCTGCCACATGCACAATGGAGGATCTTCTTGCAGCAACACCAGAGGCACTCCAAGTGGCCAGATACTGGTCAAAGGACATTTAATCAACGACCAAACTCACACATTTTGTATTTTCTCTGTTTGTTTGCTTTGTTCTGTTAGAAATGTAATATGATTGACTGGCTGCCCTGACACGAGAAATAAATAAAGGGAAGCTGTCGCTTCACCGTCCATTTGTGACACTGATGAAGTACTTCCTCATTCTTTGCATGCTTGCTGGAGATTTTTATGGCGTCGTAAATTAGCCTCCCCGCATAAGTGGTACCTAAATTTCCTACTTGACAGATGCAACTGTCTTTCGGGCTGCAAAGGTCGACAGCAAGCTACACAAACTGGTCAGAAGTTCACTCCAACCTGGACTGGCTTCGAACTCATGACCTTTTGGTCAGTAGTGATCTTAATGCAGCTGACTCCCAGCTAGCTGCACCACAGTCCTTAAACAGTTCTTAAACAAAAGCTGTTGGCTCCTCTATCCTTCATTTAATAAACACAGTAGCTTCAGCACTGAACAAGAAGATTTTGGGAATTAAGATTCACAAAGCTGATGAGACTCACATTTTGGGCTGGGCATAACATGTTTAGCGTTTTATGCTAACAAGATGCTATGTTGCCAGAATAACTGCACCCCAAAGGCCCACTCTCTAGATTGCTCACCTGACCTCTCTCTTCTAGTTCAGTCAACATAACAATGGAACAGGACTTCCATTCCCAGATCATGCGCCAGAAGTCCTCTAGCGTGTGCTGGAGTGGACCCTGGCTGGCTATGTAGGAGTCCTTCTGACGATAGCCCTGGAATTTAAACACATGGTTAGTGGGATGCAGGTTGCGAGACTTGTCAGGCTTGTAGCCACACCTACAATTTATTTGTTTGTTTATTTATTTACTATACTTGTATACCACCTTTCTCAGTCTATCAGCGACTCAAGGCGGTTTACAACAAGTCAGTACACATAATAGCAAAATACAGATTAAGCATTAAAACAATATTAAACCACAATAAAAACAATAAAAACCAACATCATTATCATCAGCGTCTCCTAGTTAAAAACATTGTCCAAATTCCATTGTCAAGTGATTCCATTTCCTATGTCAGTTACTCTGCATTTGTAAATGCTTGCTCATATAACCATGTCTTAACTTGTCTCCGAAACGTTAAGAGTGAGGGAGCTGATCTAATCTCCTTGGGAGGGCGTTCCATCATAGCCGAGGGGCCACCACAGAGAAAGCACTATCTCTCGTCCCCGCCAAATGTACTTGTGATGAAGGCGGGATTGAGAGCAGGGCCTCCCCGGACAATCCTAAAGTCCTAGATGGTTCATAAGGGGAGATGAGTTTGGACAGGTAAATTTTTGTAACATAATTCAGGGAAAGAATTCCTACTTGTTGTATATGTTCATGTATGAATCTATAAATTGTAGTTACAAAATCGACCCCTAGGTCAACTTATCCATGGGTCAAAGTAAATTCTGGACCTTAACTCTTGTAAGAAAAAGGAACAATCCCCTTCTTTGAGTAGATTGGTGAAAGGCAAGAGATTGGTCTATCCTAAGAAAACCAAAAATAAGCACTTAGCACTTCTACCCTCCTTGAAGTGGTGCTGCTTTTGGCATTTTTTAATGCTAGGTAGTGCTGGTGATTCTTCCTCCTCCGCTAAGTGACCTTCAACTTATCCACAGGTCATAGCAAACTCTGTAATTTTGGCCTGAAAAACTTTCCTTGACTTTCCTTTCTTTCTCCCACCATGGATATTCTACAGATATATTAAACCTCACTTGCCTAGTTTCCAACAGACTCCTCAAGCTCTGAGGATGCCTGCCATAGATGTGGGCAAAATGTCAGGAGAGAATGCTTCTGGAACATGGCCATACAGCCTAGAAAACTCCCAGCAACCCAGTGATTCCAGCCATGAAAGCCTTCGACAACACATTTCCTTCACTTATCCATGAGGTCAATTTATACAAGAGCATGAAAATACCCTGACAGCAAAACCTAGACCAAGCTGAAGAATCTTAACTGATAGTAGAGACCCACCAATCCAATATTACAAAAATTTGTATTCTTGGCATTGATCGCCTCTCAATTTCTTTTAAAGACAACTCACAAGATGAAGAAATGCAATGAAAAAAATGGCTTGCTGACATTAGCTTTAAGAACGAATTGCTTTCATTCACTAACACAACACAAAAATACAGAAAAGGATTCGGGTCTGATACTTTCACTCTAGGGCTAAGTTTGAAATGAGTTATTTTGAGAAATGATGAAGGTCAAGGAAGGGGAAACAGCCACTCACGTCAATAAAGGAAGCGTTCACGTAATCAGTGTTTTCTTCACCTCTCTTTACTGGAATGATCACCCGGTTGAACTCATCTACAGGCAAACAAGGCAGCAATTTTAGAAATATGCGGCAATATGCATTAGGTATCGGATCTGACATGTTGGTGCTCTTCAGAGTTGAGTTTCTACAGCAATGTCTAAAGGGGAAATTTACAAATGCAAACCCTTGACCAGAGTAGCCTGATTTAGAACGACAGAGCGATAAAGTTGGAAGAGACCATAAGGGCCATCCAATCCAACCCCAATCTGCCAGGCAGGAACACACAAACATTGCTATTTAGAAGAACAAGGACGGTTGCTCACATTTCAATGCTGAGATGAATAAATATTTTGTAGGCCTAACTTATTGTCACTAACTTATTTATTTTGATCTCTTATTAACTTACTAGCCGTCCCCTGCCACACACTGCTGTGGCCCAGTCTGGTGATCTTGAAAATTTTGGTTTCTGATCTATGTAATGTCTTTATGCTTGTAGGTAAACAGTATTTCTTGCTGTTTCTTTGCCAGTGTTGATGTGGAGATTGTCTGGTTTGCCCACCCTGGAACATGCAACATATCATTGTCCTTCTTTAGGGGTCCCTTTCAAATCTATGATACTATATCTATTTATCTATATGGCTGGATGGCTCTTTGTCAGGAGGGCTTTAATGATGTTTTCTTGCCCTGTTGAAGGGAGATGGACTGGATGACCTTCAGACAGCATTTCTCAATCTGGGGGTCAGGACCCCGGGGGGGGGGGGGGAGTTGTGAGGGAAGTCAAAGGGGTCGCCAAAGGGCTCTCTGGGTGTAGATGAACTACAAGTCCCAAACTCAAGGACAATGCTCACCAGGAAACAGTATTTTATGTTGGCCATGGGGGTTCTGTGCAGGAAGTTTGGCCCAATTCTATCCCTGATGAGGTTCAGAATGCTCTTTGATTGTAGGTGAACTATAAATCCCAGTAACTACAACTCCCAATTGTCAAGGTCTAGTTCCCCCAAATTCCACCAGTGTTCATATTTGGGCATATCGAATATTCGTGCCAAGTTTGGTCCAGGTCCATCATTGTCTGAGGCCACAGTGCTCTCTGGGTGTAGATGAACTACAAGTCCCAAACTCAAGGTCAATGCCCACCAAACCCTTCTAGTGTTTTCCGTTGGTCATGGGAGTTCTGTGTGCCAAGACAGATTCAGTTCTTTCGTTGGTGGAGTTTAGCATGCTCTTTGATTGTAGGTGAACTATAAATCCCAGCAAGTACAACTCCCAAATGACAACGTCAATTTTTTTGAGTGATGGTCACTCCTTGGGTTAGTAGGTGTCTTGTGTCCAAATTTGGTGTCACTTCCCCCAGTGGTTTTTGAGTTCTGTTAATCCCACAAATGAACATTACATTTTTATTTATATAGATTAATTCTGACTCTCTCTATATATACATATATGTGTGTGAGAGTGTGTGTATAATGTGTGTATAAATGTATGTATGCTTCACCTGTCTTCTAGACTGGGATTTAAGGCAGGATATAAATAAATAAAAAATTAAACAAACGACTCCAGATTGGGATTTTAAAACTCCAATTGATTCTTCCCTCTTTCATGCAACAACTCTCTTTTCTTCACCTTCTCAATTCCTTTCAGTTTTTTTGAAATCACAAAAGCCGCCTACTCTGAAGACTCCTGCCAAATTCTGCTCCTGCCTCCTCAACACAGATGCCCTGTTTCCCTTCTCTGGCTTCTCTCAACTGTGCAAAACACTCACATGGAATGATCTGGAGCACCCTGTTCTTCTTCATGTTGGCCGGTAAGTTGCCCGTCCTCATCTTGTCATTTTGGATTTTGATTGAGGTTAGCTTCTGCAGAAAGAGATGAGGAGAATCTAAGCCACAAAATAAAAGTTTAAGTGTACATTCACGTGATCAAAAATATGGAAATTATGTGTAAGAAGACATGTGTAGGCCCTCTTTTCCACTACCCACAGCTTCCCTTTCTTTCCAGGATCAGAAAATTGTGAAGACCAACAGAAATCCAACAGAAATTAACTCTCTTGCTACAAAAAAGGCTGTTTTCACTCTTATCCAGAACAGGCTGTGCAAAAGTTTGTCATATACCGACACAAGCAGCATGTAGATAGGTACAGCCAGAGGAATTAGCTCCAAGTGGCTGATCTGAGTACGGTGGGGATAGAGGACACTGCAAGGAGGACCTCAGGATAAGAAGATCCAGTGCTGCCCCACTTTTCCTTCAAACATTTATTTATTTATTTACGATATTTATATGCCGCCCTTCTCACCCCGAAGGGGACTCAAGAGCGGCTTACAAGATATATATACATACAATATACTATATTATTAGCATAGTACAATATTATAAATTACTATATTGTACTATACCATTATATTGTAATATTATTAGTAATATTACATGCAATATAAAATATATAATTATAATATTGTATTATTAGTAGTAGTATTATATTGTATGACATTATAATATTATAAATACAAGTAGTCCCCGAGTAACAAACATCTGACCTACAAACAACTCATAGTTAAGAATGGGGTGAGACAATAGGAAGTGAGGGAAATCTACCTCTTGGGAGGAAAATTCACTCATGGAGAGTTATCATGGGAAAAGGTGTCTCAACTCTCACCAATTCACCAATATCACCAATTCTTGTTTCCACGAGCCAAATTTTTCAAAATCCAATTCACACAGGGACAGAAAGAGAGGTGGAATCTTCCAAACAGGGGCACAGACAGCAAAACAAACACCACAGGGGTGTTAACCCTTCCCTATGCAATCCAAAGCGCGCTCTCTCTCTCTCTCTCTCTCTCTCCATATATGGCTGGAGTTACACTTAAAACATGTATCTGTTCCAACTTGCAAACAAATTCAACTTAAGAACAAACCTACATAGCTCATCTTGTTCAGAACTTGGGGGCTGCCTGTACCTTGGTTGTTTTCAACAGCAAGAACAGCTTCGTAACCATCATCCTATACTTCCATGCACATATGATGGTTTTCCAAAGAATTCCCAAACCACTGCTGTTGTAGTTGCCCAGCACACAATACTAACCACTGATTTCCACCAGGAAGTGTAAATTGCACAAATCACCAGACGTTGCTGGATTGCAAATCCAAATATTTCCCATCACTAGGGTTGTAGGGATTTGCAACAGTTTGGTGAGGCACCGATTCTCTTTGGCAGAGAAGGCTAAAGACCTTGCAAGTCTACAACTCCCATGATTCCATAACACTGAGCCATGACAGTTAATGTGGTATCAAACTGCATTAATTCTACAGTACAGGTGCACATAATACACATGCTTTCCTGGTAACATAGTACTAATGGACTAAGGTGCCACCTACCTTAAATTCCTCTTCCAATCCATTGGTGCTGGTCCCTGGGATTTTGTTATAAATCTTCTGGAGGTGGACCTCAAGTGAGGTCACCTCCAGTTCTGTGTCTCCATACAAATAATGCTCCAGGAGAGCTTGATAGATGAACACATACTGCATCTGAAGGGGGTGGGGAGAGAGAAAGTTTTGATTTTCCTCCATCTTCAAATACATTTCAAGACATGCAACCTTGTGCATTGGTGCAAAAATCCTTAAACTGTTCACAGCACTGGATTATTCCAACTGCAATCAGAATTCACTGCCTTGTGATGTATAAAAAAGCCCCACAACAAAGAGACCGTTTGTGTTTGCAGAATCAAATGTTTTTCATCTGGATACTGCAAACAAGAGAACACAGAATAAACAATACAGAACAAAATTAACAATGGTGATTTCTTTTATTCCACTGAGCCACATCTTTTTCCTCAAATGAAAAGCTAAGGTTTGAAATAGAATAATTCACTTTAGCTCCTCTGAATGTGATCTGCCCCCAAAAGCCACCAAATATATTCTTTGGTCCAATATGTTATTGAGCGGAGAAGAAAAATAACCTGTACTTCAAGATTCACTTGATTTCTGGAAGGTAGTTTTGACTCAGGTGGTCTGTTTGTTCATGGAAAGAAAACTGTATATGGATGTATTTAAATTGATTCCAATACCAATTGGTTATTAATAGGAACTAGTTTTTTGCCTCTTATATTTTATTCCATCACAAAATTTTATACTTTGTGAAGTTTTGATGTTATAAATATTATATGGCTGCTTTTGTTTTTGTATTATGATTTGTTGTTCTGTGTTGTGTTGGTTGCTATTATTATTATGTATATTGTATTTTTGTTGTAAGCTGCCTCGAGTCCCTTTTGGGAGAGGGGGCAGGATACAAATAAAGATGATGATGATACTGATTACTATATGGCAAGCGGTTGAACAGTTTTTAAAATGCGCATTCTGTAATGTTAATGTGCCTATAAGTTGATTCTGACTTATGGTAACCCTATCATAGGTACTTTTCTTGGCAAGATTTATTCAGAGGAGAGTTGTCAAAACCTTCCTCTGAGGCTGAAAGAATGTAACATATCCAAGATTGACAGGTGGGCTGTTTATGATTGAGTAGACATGGGTCTACTCAATCAAGAACCCGAGTCTTCCAGTGTCATAGTCCAATACTCAAGCCCCTACACCAGTGGTTCTCAACCTGTGGGTCCCCAGAAGTTTTTGGCCTACAACTCCCAGAACTCCCAGTTTACCAGCTGTTAGGATTTCTGGGAGTTGAAGGGCAAAACATCTGGGGACCCACAGGTTGAGAACCACTGCCCTACACCATTCTAGCTCTCAACATCATCCTCAAAGAACTAAAGAAAAAGTCTAGTTCTGTGTGAAAGAAATGCATTGGAGGGACTAAAGCAGCATTTCGCAACCTGGGGGTCGGGACCCCTGGGGGGTTGCGAGGGGGTGTCAGAGGGGTCACCAAAGACCATCAGAAGACACAGTATTTTCTGTTGGTCATGGGGGTTCTGTGTGGGAAGTTTGGCCCAATTCTATCATTGATGGGGTTCAAAATGCTCTTTGATTGTAGGTGAACTATAAATCCCAGCAACTACAACTCCCAAATGTCAAGGTCTATTTTCCCCAAACTCCACCAGTGTTCGCATTTGGGGATATTGAGGATTTGTGCCAAGTTTGGTCCAGATCCATCATTGTTTGAGTCCACAGTGCTCTCTGGATGTAGGTGAACTACAACTCCAAAACTCAAGGTCAATGCCCACCAAACCCTTCCAGTATTTTCTGTTGGTCATGGAGTTCTGTGTGCCAAGTTTGGTTCAATTCCATCATTGGTGGAGTTCAGAATGCTCTTTGATTGTAGATGAACTATAAATCCCAGCAACTACAACTCTCAAACGTCAAACCAATCCCCCCCCCCAACCCCACCAGTATTCAAATTTGGGCATATTGAGTATTTGTGCCAGTGAATGAAAATACATCCTGCATATCAGATAGTTACATGACGATTCATAACAGTAGCAAAATTATAGTTATGAAGTAACAATGAAAGTAATATTATGGTTGGGGGTCACCACAACATGAGGAACTGTATTAAGGGGTCCCGGCATTAGGAAGGTTGAGAAACACTGCTCTAGAACATGGCCATATAGCCCGAAAAAACCTACTACAAATCCAATAATTTTATAGTTGATTTTACCATCCTGCATATCAGATATTTATGACAATTCATAACAGTAGCAAAATTACAATTATGAAGTTGCAATGAAAATAATTTTATAGTTGGGGGTCACCACAACACGAGGAACTGTATTAAGGGGTTGCGGCATTAGGAAGGTTGAGAACCACTGGACTAAAGCACCCCATGCTACTTTACAAGCTTGGCATCTACAAATTCTAGTCTGAGCTAGGGATTCATTTGGACTAACAGTCTTTTTCCCTGAAAGGGGATTTGCTTACACGTGTCTACCTGATTTCAGTTCAAGTATCTGTCAACAAGTTCTATGAAAGAGCTTACATTTAAAATGAAATATAATACACAACAAACTTGAATTGTAATAAAACCTTTTTGTTCACTTGCCCCTTCTTCCAATAGGTTAGCTACTATATACACTCATATATGAAGGGGTAGGACAGGATGACTCTTGTGGTATCTTCAAACTCTATGATTCATAACATTTTTGTCAAAAAATGACACTTTAAAACTGGATCAATTTATCCAAAGGTCAATGGTAAGTGATCTACTTTAACTATTATTATAAAAGGAACCATCCCCTTCCATGAGTGGAGTGATGAAAAGCAAAAGCTCAGTCTACCGACTTATACATAAGTGTATATGGTAGTCATTTATGGTCCTTTGTCTAAGAAGGGATGATTGATGGGTCTCCTTCCTCAAGATGGCTTACTCGGTGGTTCTCAACTTGTGGGTCCCAGGTGTTTTGGCCTATAACTTCCAGAAATCCCAGCCAATTTACCAGCTGTTAGGTTTTCTGGGAGTTGGAGGCCAAAATATCTGGGGACCCACACACAGCTTGAGAACCAGTGGCTTATATCCATGCATCAGAGCCAGCTTTAGGGCTCTTTTACGGAAAAAAAATTGTAATCTTCAATTGCCTCTGTCCTTTTTTGTCCCAGGTGGATTTCCTGAAACAGTCAATTACAACAATAAGTTTACAAGAAGTATCTCCCTGGTTGTATAGATTGTCAAAGGCTTTCATAGCTGGAATCACTAGTTTGTAGGTTTTTCGGGCTATATGGCCATGTTCTAGAAGCATTCTCTCCTGATGTTTCGCCTGCATCCATGGCAAGCATCCTCAGAGGTTGTGAGGTTGTCAGGAGAGAATGCTTCTAGTCCCTGGTTGTATTTTTTCACAGGCTTGTATGGCACTGGCCATGCTGCACTCTGCTTCATAAAGATACAAAATATTCCTACTCTAAGGAGAAATATTTCTAGTTTTTCTTCTAATGATCAACAGACACATGATCAGCAAAACTCAACACAACATTTGGATTTGATAGTTGTTTTTCTGCAAAAGTTACAGCAGAAGGAATAGGACAACAAAGCTCGCCTTCTGCTCCACACCAAATCCTTGTTTATCTGAAAAACACAACCTGATCTCTGCCAAAGTGGAAGAAAAGAAGAGGCCAAAAACCCAGAACAGTGCCGTAAAATGAAAGGGTGTCATATGGTGGTGGCAGAGAGAGAATTCAACTTCTCCAAGTTCTGCTGAAACATTTCAGAAAAATATCAAGGTCACATAATTAAGCCTGTGTGCTTTTATGTGATCTATTTTAGGTCCTTTTGCAACCAATACATTAGAATGAATAAAAAGCAAGTGTTTGGCCCACAAATGGTGCCGCTTGCCCTTCAGAAACTTACATCAGTCTGTACCATCTGGCAGCGCTGTGCCCGGATGCGGCTTACAAACCCAAAAACATCCACCTTCCTCTCGGTGTTCATCATGTCCAGCATGGCGTCAATGACAATGAAAGTGCCTGTCCGGCCCACGCCAGCACTGGAAAGGAAGCAGGGAGAGATGGAAAAAAGGGTTCCTTGGTAATTGGTCTCACCAGACAGTTTCGGCAAAAGGAGCTCCACGTGGAGTACCACTCTGTGTGGGTGTCAGGCAAAGTGCAGGCTTAATTAAGAAAGCCAACCATTTGGGTGCCAATATCTGTTTGCTGATTCATCTTTTCCAAGGAGACTATAACAAAGCCAGGCAAAGTGGTGGTTCATGGAGCAGTGCCAGGGCACGAGGCATCCGCTGTCAGTTCAGGGCAAGTTTCCATGGAAGAAAGAGACAGCTGAACCCAATTGACACAAGGGGTTTGAACTGCATGGCTCTTGGTGTCTCCTACAAGTATGCTTTTATGAAATAACCCAAAATCTGCCCCCCTCAAAAAAATTCCAATTTCCAAACACTTCAGATAAGGGATACTCTACTTGTATTCTGTTTTAATGGTCAGACGTTGAAAAGGATCCTGTGCTGGGAAAAAGGCAGGCTCTTGGCTAACTTTCACTTACTCAAAAGTGCCTAGTGTTGTAGTCCAGCCTTTGATAGTGACTGGACCTGATCTCACTGGGGATTCTGGACTTGTTAGGCAGCCTGATGATGACAGTGGGGTTTCTGGGCCTGCAAACCAGCAAGAAAATCAGGAGATTTTAAGCCCTGAGAATGAGGCCAAATTCAAGAAAGGCCGTTCCCTAGAGATCATAGAATCATAGAACAAAGAGTTGGAAGAGACCTCATGGGCCATCCAGTCCAACCCCTTCTGCCAAGAAGCAGGAATATTGCATTCAAATCACCCCTGACAGATGGCCATCCAACCTCTGTTTAAAAGCTTCCAAAGAAGGAGCCTCCCCCACACTCCGGGGCAGAGAGTTCCACTGCTGAACGGCTCTCACAGTCAGGAAGTTCTTCCTCATGTTCAGATGGAATCTCCTCTCTTGTAGTTTGAAGCCATTGTTCCGCATCCTAGTCTCCAGGGAAGCAGAAAACAAGCTTGCTCCCTCCTCCCTGTGGCTTCCTCTCACATATTTCTACATGGCTATCATATCTCCTCTCAGCCTTCTCTTCTTCAGGCTAAACATGCCCAGCTCCTTAAGCCACTCCTCATAGGGCTTGTTCTCCAGACCCTTGATCATTTTAGTCGCCCTCCTCTGGACACATTCCAGCTTGTCAATATCTCTCTTGAATTGTGGTGCCAGAATTGGACACAATATTCCAGGTGTGGTCTAACCAAAGCGGAATAGAGTATGGGGAGCATGACTTCCTTAGATCTAGACAGTAGGCTCCTATTGATGCAAGGTGAGAGGCAGAAATGAGCTCAGGGAGGAAGATGCAAGGGAAGAAGATGCAACTCCAGGTGGGTGGGCTAATGAGCAGCAGTTGGATAGGAGATTGACGTTCCGCCAACATAGAGTTTCTCATGAGGCAGTTCAAAGGTCAAGTCGCCTATTAGCTAAGAAGCCCCTATCAGCTCTTGAAGGGAAACAGAACTGTTTTTTGTCTATATTAGAGACACCAGCAGATCATTTCCTCAGTCCAGTCAACACTGATTTTGGAATACAGAACTCTTGCCAAGTTAAGTCTTCCAAGAGATCTCTAGTTCCAGGTTTCTTATGTTCATGTTTCATGTTTAAAGCAGGGGTCCTCAAACTAAGGCCCGAGGGCCGGATGCGGCCCTCCAAGGTCATTTACCCGGCCCTCGCTCAGGGTCAACCTAAGTCTGAAATGACTTGAAAGCACACAACAACAATCCTATCTCATCAGCCAAAAGAAGCCCACACTTCCCATTGAAATACTAATAAGTTTATATTTGTTAACATTGTTCCTCATTTTAATTATTGTATTGTTTTGAAGTGTTTTTTACACTACAAATAAGATATGTGCAGCATGCATAGGAATTCATTCATTTTTTTTTCAAATTATAACCCGGCCCTCCAACAGTTTGAGGGACTGTGACCTGGCCCTCTGTTTAAAATGTTTGTGGACCCCTGTCCTAAGGAATGCTCCTGCATTGCATGTCTGAATTTATCCTGCTTTTGTATTCCTGGTTTTTGATACATTTCATGTACTTTGAACCCTGAGGATTATTCCTGTTTCTTTGACATTGTTTTTTACACTATTTTGCTGGATTGCTTTTATATATATGTACTTCAATAAACTACTTTGGTATTTTACCTTGGACAGGATTGAGTGTTAAGTACAGAATTGATTTCCCGCCTTGGAATGCAGCACCTAGCATTTAGCTTACAAACTCCATGATACACACAGAGACAAGAAAGAAGGAGAAAGGAGGAGAAGGAAAATTGAGTTGGCAGCAGCTGCTAAGCCAGGACACCGAAGAGACATGCCTTTCAAAATCTTCTTCTGCTGCTGCTTTCCATGACCTGATCAGCAAATGAGAGAAAAACAGCTCCAAATGGACTGGATGAGTAGCGGTGGGGAACTCCCTGTGTGTTGGAGAGTCATAAGACAGCCTGCTTTTATGGGATATGGTGTAAGAGACTAACAGAGAAGATATCCCTTAGAAATAACCCTCTCTACTGAAGAAGCCGAGGAAAGTCACCCACCTCAAGACATCCAGCCCCGTTGAGACTGTGAAATGAGACTTCAAACTGACCTGCAGTGTACAACAATGGCTCCTGCGTACTGTGGGTTACATGTCTTCACCTTCTTCAAGAACTTTAGCATCCCGATGGGAGTGAAGGGGACCCCAAAATCAGGCCAGCTAGTGAAGTGGAACTGCGTCACCAGGCGCTGCGGCTTTTTGTTGGTGACATCGCCTACCTGGTTGGAAGGGCAGGAAGACAGACTGAACATTAACTGTTGATCATCAGAAATCCAAAACCACATCATTTCCATAAATCCCTTTCACTCATTTTGTCTTGCCATGAAGCCCATTGTTGTAGTGGTGTTTATGTGCCTTCCAATCAAAGTAATGGTGACCCTCCTTAAGAATATATCTTTTTTCTTAGGGTTTTCTTGGCTAGATATATTCTTAAGGAGGGTCACCATTACTTTCTTTTCAAGCTCAGAAAGCATGACTTGCCCAAAGTGGATCTTCATAGCTGAGTGGGGAATCAAACCCTGGCCTCCCAGAGTTCTAAAGAAAGAAATACCAGAAATACCAGAACCATGCAAGAATGTATGGGGAAATATCAGAAACAGAGAAGTGATTCCGTTTCCTAGGCTTAACCTTTCTCAAATAAAGTTTGCCCCCTCTCTAATATTACACCATGCAATCCTATTTGCCTGATGCTGGCTATGTTTACTTGCGGTGTGTCAGGTTATGTGTGAACTATATAATGTCAATATTTTGGGGGAAAAAGTCCGTCCAGAACAAAAACTAGGCACTGAATCCTAACCTAGTCACCCATTCTACTGATGCCAAGCTTCTGAGTTCTCAAATGGACACATATGCAATAAATAGGGCTGGCAAGACAGTCTGACAGAGACCTCTGTTGTGGAGCATGTGAGTAGAGAGAGAATAATGCAATACCTGCTGAATGCAGAATTTCCGTACTGTATAATCAACCAGGACAGTCACGTCTTCCACAGACACTCTGATATTTCCGTAGGTCCAACAGCCCTGATCTGGCCAGTACTGAGCACATTTACACTAGAGAAATGGATATAAACAATTAAACTGATGTTCTTTTCTTTTTTCACATCAAATTATTTCTTTTTCCAGGCATTTAAACTATTTAAATTTTAGATTTCACTTTTAAAATCTGGTACTACATTTTGAATTTAACTACCAGTTTCCATTCCCTTCAAATATATGTTTGCAACAGGTTTAATTGTATTTATTCTTTTATAAGTGCCGTATTACTCTTTTCTACAATCCTTGTAGATAAAAGGTGGGGTCTTAAATATAAATAAGCAAGCAAGCAGGCAGGCAATTAAGTAAATCAGCCAAGATAGAAGAAATGGGGTTTCTGGAAAGAAAGATTCTGCAGGGGGATGCTATGACTCTTTTGACCTTTTCAATCCAGAGCTGTCATGCCTCTTTCTTTACAAATGTCATTCAGAATGTCATCCATACAGAAATCATTTTGTTTCCATATCCAAGAGACTTTTAAACTGATCTTTGCCTAATTGCTATAGTCCTAGGACTTCTACTTGCCTCTTTCCTCTCTTTCAAATTGGTCACCATGACAATTGTAGCTGTGTTTTGCTCCCAAATCATTCTCCAGAAGTCATTCACAGTTTCTTCTTTTGGTCCTAAAATAAAAACAGGTCAGAGGAAGGCATTATTGCACTTTAATGAAGCCAGTGAGGGCTAGAAGCCTCCTCCCAACACTGTGCATCCAAATGTTCTCAGGCAGTCATGTTTTCCAGTCTTGCCAACTGAAATTCTTTACATACAGGTGACAAGAAGTCTGCCTATAGTTTTGTACGTGCTAAGTACAAGCTCTGAGACTGAATCCCATGAAGAACGAAGAGAGAGAAAGAGTTGTAGTATAGAAAGGATGAAAACTCTGAAGTGGATTTCATAAATGAATTCTATTTCCAGTCACAGAAGAGAATCTTGGCCTTTTCACAATGTTTTTCATTAATCACTCGCCTCCATGTATTCAAGCTTTCTTTTCCAACTTTCTGAATACCAGACACCTTCCACTGCTCAGCTCTAGAAGATACTTTGTTGGAAACAGCAACCTTCTACAAGCCTCCACTAGTTATTTGTCACGTATATAATTCAGATTGTTTACTATATTTTATATGTGTGTTTTGGTATGCAGTTTTCCTTAACTCTATGTTGTGGAAGGGGCTGCAGACCATGTGATCAGATCTGGGACTACTTGGGACTCAGACTCCATTTTAGAATCAGCATGCTTTTAGAAGTCAGTAGAAACAGACTGCTTTCCAGAAGAGACTCTATTAGACTCTCAGACCAGAGAGATGCTTTAGAATTTTAACTATTGATTATAAGAAAGATGCCTTGTGTTATATGCACAGAGAAACTATTTCAAATCCTATCTGTAACTGGATCGGTATGCAATGTGCCTGTATGCTGAATACATGAAGGTCTGTGAGTAAACCAACTATGTTTTTTTAAAGAAATCTACCTTATTTTTGGTCTCTTTAGAGCATGATTTAAACCAAGATGTTTTAAGGAAGAGTAGGTGTTTGCTGAGCAACTGAAACTTCTGAAACTCTGCTGTTTTTTGTGCATTGGCATATCTTTGTTCCTAACAGTTCAGAGATATCTAGGTATATCAGTTTAACAGCTAAGAAACCTAATTGCCTTGTGCAAATACTAGTGGGTATTTACTACTAAGGAGAAGATTGACTCAAAGGGTTTTTTGAACTCTTATTCAAGAGATTCCTGGTTTTCCCAAAAGGTTATGAATGCCATTTTCCAAAATATTATGGAGATTTCCACTTCTCAAAATACTTGGATTTTGGAAGATGCACTTCTTATGATAATGTGTGTGGAAAAGGGAAACTCCCACTCACCCAAGAATGGTGAAAAGTTAGTTAAGTTACAATTTTTCTGACCAAATAAAGTTCTTCCAAAGATCTATTTCTAATATTAATTTCTTTTTCAAGTTGGCTGCACACATAGCAAACAACTTTAAAAGGCACAGAAGAAAGTAACAAAATACAGACAACTCTTATTCAGTCTCCTAACCTTTTGTCATGACAGTAATGAAATTCACAGGGAAATTAAATGAAATTACCTTGGGCTGCAATGAACTTGTTCTTCTCTTGGTACCCCTGCCGAGACAAAAGCAAAAAGGGATGAAGTGCGTGGTTGTAAAGAATGTTTTAAATTTTCTAATCCTGGATGAGGATTTTTTTTCCTGCTTCAAGAACCATAATTTGGAACTTTTTTGTTCCCAAACCACTCTTTTCTCAAAAAGTCATGTTTTATGGAAAAGTATTTTATGCTTTTAAAAATAAATTGGGGGGGGGGGGGGGGGAGGCAACCACATTCTCACAAAAGATACTCTAAAGCAGTGGTTCTCAACCTAGGGTCTCCAGATGTTTTTGGCTTACAACTCCCAGAAATCCCAGCCAGTTTACCAGCTGTTAGGATTTCTGGGAGTTGAAGGCCAAAAACATCTGGGGACCCCAGGTTGAGAACCACTGCTCTAAAGGTACTTGATCCTATCTGATTTTGGAAACTAAGTAGGGTGAGTTCTGGGGAGTGCTTGGATGGAAGGCCACCCAAAAGTGTCTGATACTGCAGGCAATACTTGAGTGAAGGATTTCTTGGAATTGTAGGCCAAAAACATTTAAATTGAATACTGTTTTTTAAGTGTTGTAAACCGCAATGAGTCGCCGACTTAGGCTGAGATATTAGCGGTCTACAAGCGCATAAATAAATAAATAAATAAATAAGGACATAGCAAAACAACTTCTGAGTACACACTGCCTAAGAAAACATATGGAATTCGTGGAATCGTCATACATAAATATAAAATATCATTAAAATGTACAAAGACTCTTGTATAATCTTGCCCTATCAGGACAACCTTTGTAGTTTTTCATTCAAGCATGTGACAACACAGTTAAAGTGGCCCAAAATCATATTGTATATCAAACTCATAGTGTAGCTGATAGGCATGTGCAATCCATAAAAAAAGGATCCAAACTCCTTCCAAAGAAAGGGGGTGCTGGTGCTTTGTTTCAAAAGTCTTTCTGAATTTTTGGTGGTCAATAATTCCAAACTTTAATAAAACTTACAAATTTTTGTAAGTACTTTGATAATGGCGGTTGTGATTGTGCAATAGGGAAAACTGTCAGTGGGGAAACTTGAGGGGCGTCTCTCTTCCTCATTTTTTGAGCTATCCTGATGAAACTTGCTACCGTGGTAGAGCACATTTGCCACAGTTAGCTCATCAAATTTCAGAACATTTGACTTATCCATAAACTTTTGGCAAATTTTCAAAGTTTTCATAAACAATATTTTTTTTAAAAAACTACAAGAGCTATCTACTTGAATTTTATATATAATGCACAAGATAATGAGGGTCTCAATCCCTGGAAGTTTCAGAAAGATTCACACATCTACAGATTTTTGGGGATTTTAAAAAGTTTTAGAGCAAAATAATTTATCCCCCCCAAAATGCGACAACAGCAATCCCCTTGAATGTCCATCTGTCTTTATGACACACAACCACATAACTTCAACTTAGCACAGATACTATTACTTCCTTAAGTCCTTTTTGCAGATATTTATTATATTTAGACTAACTCTAAATGGCGACTGGTGAGGCCAGCCCTCACTTGGGTACTTCAGGCTCATTTGAGTCCTAAGCAGCTTTGCATTCCGGGAAATGTAGTTTACGGTAGGGCCTTTTCCAATACTCTACCATTGGGGGCCTGGCCTTTCCAAACTACAGTTAAGATGGTTGTGATTAGTCACGCCCACAACTCCCTTCCTTATGGTGGTGCTGGCGATGAATGAGATGTAAAAAAGCACTTAGTGTTATATTTCCTTTACCAACGTTGCTTAATGGTTACAGTGAAAATTAGACTGATCTTGGGAGACATCCGAATGTTACAGAACATTCAAGAAAAAATGGGTGATTCAAATTTTAAATCTCCCCCCTGTCCTGCATTCCTCGGAAATCGCTTCATATGCACAAATTTAACGAATCAGATAAGAGTTCAGATTTTTATTCCAAATTATGCGCCAGCCTAGTAGCTGATCTTCCAAATGTGAAACCTCTTTGATAAACTTATATCTCTATCCCACACCTTGTGTGGCTCTTTCCAGCATTGTAATCCTCTTGATGTTTACATAACAGGCTGCATTGGTTGATATGAAATTGGCACACAGGATATTGACAAAAAAACTGGCAAAGAAATGAAGCAGATCATGTATTTTCTGTCCAAAATCAGAGTGAGTGTTGCAGAAAATAAACATGGTCCAAAGAACACCCAGGCCATTTTAATCTCTGTCACAAGCTGTCTCAGGCAGAATAAACACCACCCCAATTATAGATATTAATCTATCCAGACAGAGAGGTCTTTCTCAGTGCTTTTATCTTTGGTTTCCAACTAGAGATATCAAGATTATATTTCATGTAAACCACATGCTTCGACCACATGTCATTCCATCAGGCAAAACATCTGACTCTGCAGTTCAGTCAAGACAGCAAGTGTTCTATGGTCCCTCAAAGTTACATTCAGACACATTTTTTAATTCAAGGGGTTTTTTTTGTTGTGTCAGGAGTGACTTGAGAAACTGCAAGTCACTTCTGGTGTGAGAGAATTGGCCATCTGCAAGGACGTTGCCCAGGGGATGCCTGGAATGATTTGATATTTTTATCATCCTTGTGGGAGGCTTCTCTCATGTCCCCGCATGAGGAGCTGGAGCTGATAGAGGGAGCTCATCCACCTCTCCCGGATTTGAACCTGCGACCTGTCGGTCTTCAGTCCTGCCAGCACAGGGGTTTAACCCACTGCACCACCGGGGGCTCCAATTCAAGGGGTGAAGCGTCTTAAGCAAATGAAACCTGTAAGGCAGTGTTTCTCAACTTGGGGGTCGGGACCCCTGTGGGGGTCGCAAAGGGGTGTCAGAGGGGTCACCAAAGACCATCAGAAAACATAGTATTTTCTGTTGGTCATGGGGTTCTGTGTGGGAAGTTTGGTCCAATTCTATCATTGGTGGGGTTCAGAATGCTATTTCATTGTGGGTGAACTATAAATCCCAACAACTACAACTCCCAAATGTCAAGGTCTATTTTCCCCAAACTCCACCAGTGTTCACATTTGGGCATATTGAGTATTTGTGCCAAGTTTGGTCCAGATTCACCATTGTTTGAGTCCACAGTGCTCTCTGGGTGTAGGTGAACTACAACTCCAAAAACTCAAGGTCAATGTCCACCAGACCCTCCCAGTATTTTCTCTTGGTTGTGGGAATTCTGTGTGCCACGTTTGATTCAATTCCATCATTGATGGAGTTCAGAAGGCTCTTTGATTTTAGGTGAACTATAAATCCCAGCAACTCCAACATTCCCAAATGACAAAATCAATCACCCCCATCCCACCGGTATTCAAATTTGAGCATATCGGGTATTTGGGATTTGAAAATACATCCTGCATATCAGATATTTACCATTACTATTCATAACAATAGCAAAATGACAGTTATGAAATAGCAACAAAAATAATGTTATGGTTGCAGGTCACCACGACATGAGGAACTGTATTAGGAGGTCACAGTATTAGGAAGATTGAGAAACACTGCTGTAAGGTGTATCAGATATCTGTCAGTTTTCTCATTCAATTGTACAAATGGTGAGAATGCAATACAATTTCCATAAAGAGCCCATGATGTGACTAGTACATTGTAATGCAAAAAGCCAGCATGACTTGAGTGCTGAAGTGGGACTCTGGGAGGCCAGTTTTCAAATCCTCCATCGGCCATGGAAGCCCACTGAGTAACCGTGGACAAGTGACAATCTCTCAGAGTAAGGCGAGATCAACCCCCTTTGAACAAAACTTACCAAGAAAACACCACAAAAGGGTCACCTTAGGGTCGCATTAACTCAGAAATAACCTGAAGGTACACAGCAAATAAATGCTGCAATACAATCCTGGCCTCAAAGAGGAAGCCCCAGTGAAAGGAGGGAAAAATGTGAAGTAACAATGCCTGGGAAACTTCTGTCTGAGGAAGTTCCACGATATGTAGAATATGATGGCTGGTAGGATTTGAAAGAAACTGCCAGTTTCTGTCAACAGGACTGCTTCCCTGCATATACCATCTGGACCATTGACCTTAAAGAAGGCATAAGAACTGGAAGGAAAGGAATGACATCTCTCTTCCTGTCTCCTCAACAGATACTTACATTAATGAATGAGGCATTGATGTAGTCGGAGTCTGGAACCCCTTCAAGAGGTGTCAGATGAAGCCTGGAATGATCATCTAAGAAAAAGAAAGAATGAGACTAAGCAAAGCATTGAAAGAAAATTAAAAAAAACTATTTCAGGGTGACTTTTATATTGAGGAGCTTCAGCTAAATTGAAGTATATCACAAAAGAATTGGATTCTTAGTAGTAAAGGATTGAAACTAGAGGAGGCATGGGCAAACTTTGGCCCTCCAGGTGTTTTGAACTTCAGCTCCCACAATTTCTAACAGCCAAATTGGGGAAATTGAAGTCCAAACACCTGGAGGGCTGAAGTTTGCCCATGCCTGGACTGGAGCAAACTTTATAAGAGAAACTAAAGAAATGGGACTCTGGTCTAAACTCTAACAGATTATCACTGTACACAAGTACTAGGACAAGCTCTAGTGTAGGAAAGTTCATTACTCCTCCCTGTAATGAAGAGAGTCACCCTTATCTGGAAATCTGAAATCCAAAAACCCCCCAAAGTTCAAATTTTTATGCCACCAGTTGACCAGACACAGCACATGTTCATCAGCTGCTTGGTGGATCAGGGACACTGAGCGGTTGATAGACTTGTACTAATCCTGGCACCTATTATCCTTTGCTATCCTTTCCAAAAGTTGATGACTTGGAGCAGTGGTTCCCAACCAGGGATCACTTGAACAGGGACCACTTTGACCAGGGACCACTCCCCAACATTAGTATGAAAAGGGCTACAAATCAGTTTTTGATCAACTTTAGATTCTTTTTGGTTATTTGGGGTGCTAATTCATAAAACTGCATTGGATAGACCACACCAGCTCTAGTTTCTGATACAGAACATATCCCATCCAGTAGTCGCCATCTGCTCATCCACAGAAAACCATATTTAATAATCTAGAGCTGATGTGGTAGTAGTAATCTTTTGTGGGTAGTCAGCCTCTCCCCTCCCGACATTCCCATTGCCTCTGCACTATAAGAGGGTTTCGTGAGACCAGTCGCTTTCGTTGCCATGTGGTTTCGAGGCAACGGGGTAGAAATGGTGAGGTCGAGGACCCTATTTTTGTTCTTGCAGTCCACTGGCGGTCCAAGGACCACAGGTTGGGAACCAATGATTTGGAGGATGGGACTGATCTCAGATAAAGAAGGAGGCCACAGAACCTGGGCGAGGAGTAGAACATGACTTGCATAGTCAGAAGAACTGACAGCTTTAATCTCATGGCACTCTTTCCCTTCTGATACTGCTTTGCCTTTTTTACTCCCAAAACTAAAGGCTTGTACAGATCTCTATATGGTTGTCATGCACATCGTGAAGTGCATCATGAATTCCTGCTGTAGGCATATAGGGACCAGATACTTTCAAACAGATCTACCTTTCCGGTGCCCAAATCAATTCACCAAAAAGCTAGCTTACTATACAGTAAGACTCTCATATTCTTAGAGGATATATTCCCAGACTTTGCATGGAGATGCCAAACAATGGCTAATAGAGAACTATATTTAAATGAAGGACTTCCAGCCCAAGAACACTACAGAATCATTCTGGAGCTCTTAGAAAATGTCCAGAGTGGGCACATTTTGTCAGATGTAGATAATTTTACAAATATAGGACATACTGTACTTTCTAACAGGTCAGTGGAAATTCTGCATTCAGCAGGTATTGCATTACTCTCTCTCTACTCACATGCACCATAACTCACATGTACCATAACATAGGTCTCTGTCTTGATTAATGTCAGACCATCTTGCCATCCCTATTTACTGCATATGTGTCCATTGGAGAACTCAGATGAACCACAAGAGGCAGAGCCAACCTTCAGAAATGGGGCTACAAAGTGGAATCATCGATATGCGAATGTGGAGAGGAGCAAACCACTGACCACCTGCTGCAATGCAACCTGAGCCCTGCCACATGCACAATGGAGGACCTTCTTGCAGCAACACCAAAAGCACTCCAAGTGGCCAGATACTGGTCAAAGGACATTTAACCAATTACCAAACTCACAAATGCTGTATTTTATCTGTTTGTTTGCTTTGTTCTGTTAGAAATGTAATAATTGACTGGTTGATCTGACACGACAAAATGGAGAACTCAGAAGGTTGGCATCAGTAGGATTGGGGTGACTCAGTTAGGATTCAGTGCCTAGTTTTTGCTCTGGACAGATTTTTTCCCCAAAATATTGACATTATATAGTTCACACACAATCTGACACACTCCAAGTCACATATTTGATAGAATTCGGTACCACTGTTTTATTCTGAGTTGATGGCATCCTGGAAAGCAAATGAGGGGAGTCCTTTTCTCACCTGAGGCAGACAGGTGTGTATGCAGAGGGCATCTTAGGAGGAGGGAGATGCTGCCATGGATGTACTAACAAGCAGCTGCATCTTTTCTCCATGAGCTCTTTCTCCTTGCTCAACATTTTGCAATGCACTGTGTTATTTTTTCTATTAACATGCAACAAGCTGAATGTTCTTTTGCCTTTGGCTTGCAAAATGAAGATATTTTTCCATATATGGGCATTACTGTTCATATCCTTGCATTTCAGGAACTGTTCCCCCTCTTCAGCACTTCCCCCAGACCATGCCACCCACTCCCATTATTCCCCTTGCCACCCACAAGCAATGGATCTCCTAGGCAACCCCTTCTCCTCTCATCATTCATCAGACACCGACTCTTCCTTCCTGGCATAGAACAGGAGAAACAGTGAAAGGCAGGCAGTCATCAAGCAAAAGCATCAGGACAGTAATGGCATCTACCTACCGGAAAGCACAACCTCCTTTATAAGTGAGATAAAAAGGCCAGGTGCCATTATTAGAAGGCCTTGGCTCCTGCCACAGTTACTGCAATTAACCCAATCCCAGAGGCACCTTTAGTTTAACAGAATGGTCAGACTAATGGACAGGTTGCCGCCACAAAGCAGAATGAAACAAGAGGCGTATGCAGCCCTGCTACTCCTTCAACACAGAGACTACAGACTGTCAGGAATAATGAGCCTTTCCAAGTCCCGCTCAACTAGGATTCAAAGGCGAAGCCTTGCAGCCTGTGCAGAGATAATTCATTTGGGATTGCAAAATTGACAAGCTGGAATGTGTCCAGAGGAGGGCAACTAAAATGATCAAGGGTCTGGAGAACAAGCCCTATGAGGAGTGGCTTGAGGAGCGGGGCATGTTTAGCCTGAAGAAGAGAAGGCTGAGAGGAGATATTATAGCTATATATAAATATGTGAGAGGAAGTCACAGGGAGGAGGGAGCAAGCTTGTTTTCTGCTTCCCTGGAGACCAGGACGCAATGGAACAATGGCTTCAAACTACAAGAGAGGAGATTCCATCTGAACATGAGGAAGAACTTCCTGACTGTGAGAGCTGTTCAGCAGTGGAACTCTCTGCCCTGGAGTGTGGTGGAGGCTCCTTCTTTGGAAGCTTTTAAACAGAGGCTGGATGGCCATCTGTCAGGGGTGATTTGAATGCAATATTCCTGCTTCTTGGCAGAATGGGGTTGGACTGGATGATTGCCCAGGAGGTCTCTTCCAACTCTTTGATTCTATGATTCTAGGTGGGCATCATGACCTTTTCAGATACCAGGATGATGAGTCCTTTCCAACATCATTTTCTCTTTGACACAGACTGACTTCCAGGTATAAAGAACAAGACTCTGGCCTTTTAGGTCAACCTGAATTTTTCCAAAGTTTTTTTTTTTTTTGCTCTGCCACATCTGTGTCTCCACTACCATCTCCTTCTGGTTCCTATCTACACTGTGCAAGCCCTTAGCCTCTTTTCATCAAGCCCGGTCTTGATAACGAAAAACAGCCTGAGCACAATCTGCATTGCACAGTACCGACTTCTCATGTTTTGAATGTAAGAATTGACATTTACCATAATCATCATCATCATCATCATCATCATCTTTATTTGTACCCCGCTACCATCTCCCCAAGGGACTCGGTGCAGCTTACATGAGGCCGAGCCCACAATACATCAATAAACAAAACATCAATAAAACAATCAATACAGTACAAATCATATAAATCACATAACCAAAAAATAAGCAATAAACAATCAACAATGACATATAAGCATTTAAAACCAATGGCCGGGCCAAATGTAATAGATTAAAATTTAAAAATAATGCTGACGTGAACAAGGTAGGATATAACTGGGATAGGATTTTCAGAGAGAAATCAGTCCTAAATCAGTGGTAAAGTGCATTTTGAGGGCATATTGCTGAGAGTTTTCCTTATTCTGGGAAGGCACATTGGAACAACCACGTTTTCAGGCTCCTCCTAAAGACTGCCAGAGTTGGGACATGTCTGATGTCCCTGGGAAGTGAGTTCCAGAGTCGGGGGGCCACCACTGAGAAGGCCCTCTCCCTCATCCCCACCAATCGCGCCTGCAAAGGAGGTGGGAGCGTGAACAGGGCCTCTCCAGATGATCGAAGAGATTGTGTGGGTTCATACACAGAAACACAACTATAGCCGTAACTATCAGAGAGCATGGGATGAAGGGAATCAATGATGGTTGCCAATACTTACAAGGCAAGATGTTGACGTATCTGTTCTTCTCCTTGTTTTCTTCCTTAGAGGCAGCTTCACAGGTAGCCTGGATGGGGCATGCTGGGAGAGCCTGGAAGGATGGAGAGACAATGAAGAGATGGAGAGGCAGATGAACTGAGAAGCAAGGCAAAAAGTGGCACCTAATATAACAGCTTCAGTGGTGATTTAATGGTAAAGGGCTGGCTTTAGCACCACAGGTTAATCACCAGCTGCAACTGCAGTAAATTTTGCCAACCAAAAGGTTGACAGTTCAAAGGTGGGTCAGAGTGAGCTCCCGACCTTCAGCCCAGCTCCCTGTCGACCTAGCAGATCGAAAACAGCAATGTGAGTAGATAAATAGGAACTGCATTAAAAGTATTTTAGGTACAGTATTTCAGAAGACGTTTATGAACAAAGAAAGCTCTTCATTTTGGGTCCTGTCTTGATTGCTGGCTGAAAAAATGTATCCCCCAAATTTATATTTACAGGCATTTTATGTTATTTATTCTTTTAGGAATTTTGTGCCTAGCTCCCTAGGACTCTTTGTGGATAAAGAGCAGGCCTTTAGAAACAAATAAATAAATGGACCAGAGAAGAAGAAGGAGAAAGCAGATTCTGAAGCATGGCCCATGTCTCTTGGGATGTTTTCAACTAAATGCATTTGCTGAGCAGAGGCAAAGGCCTGAAGAAAAATAAACGTGGGAACATTTTAATTGCCCTGCTATTCTTCCAAGAACCCTACACCTGCTTCCCGGTTTCTTTTCCTTCTGGGCTTTCACTTCTCTTTCCTTATTAAAATCATTGAGTTGGGTTCCTAGAATAGGAGTCCTGCTTTCTAACCTTAAGATAAGCAATAGCGAAATGTGACCTGAAAGCCACATGCCATCTTTGGGACCAAAGTGCAACCCCCAAAGTTCCCTGAACTGTGCTAATTTGGGGGTAATTATGCCCCTCAAAACTAGCTAAATGCACCCAAAACCAGCTGCAAATGCAGCCCTTTATGGGGCCAGAGTTCATGAGGCATACATTTAATACAGAATTCTCTTGCTCCAAATCCAGACTCTGAAGTAGTAAAAATCATGGTCATAACAGTTCTCAGCCAAATCTCAAAGGCAGACAAGTTTCCAATTAATATCTGTGTGTTCAGAAGGATAGTCAATTATTCTCTTGTATCGAAACCTCATACTTCGATTGCTGCCCATTTGCATAATTCCTATTAGAATGATATAATAAAAATCAAAGAAAACATTAGGAGCAGCAAGTCTTCCTGCAAGACTCCAGCAGTACATGGAGCGAGAGTTGCCAGATGTACAATCTGGGTTCAGAAAAGGCAGAGGAACGAGACACCAAATTGCCAATATCCAGATGCTGGATAATAGAGAAAGGCAGGGAGTTTCAGAAAAACATCTATTTCTGTTTCATTGACTATTCTAAAGCCTCTGACTGTGTGGATCATAATAAATTGTGGCAAGTTCTTGGTGATCTGGGGATACCAAATCACCTTGTCTCTCTCCTGAGGAATCTGTATAAGGACGAAGTAGCAACAGTAAGAACTCACCATGGAACAACAGACTGGTTCAAGATTGGGAAAGGCGTATGGCAGGGTTGTATCCTTTCACCCTACCTATTCTACTTGTATGCAGAACACATCATGCGAGGATGTGCGGGGCTTGACAAATCCAAGGCTGGGGTGAAAATGGCTGGAGGAAACATTAACAACCTTAGATATGCAGATGACACCACTTTGATGGCCAAAAGTGAGGAGGAGCCTTCTAATCAAGGTGAAAGTAGAAAGCGCAAAAGCTGGGTTGCAGCTAAACATTAAAAAAACCAAGATTATGGCAACAAGAATGATTGACAACTGGGAAATAGAGGGAGAAAATGTGGAGGCCGTGACAGACTTTGTATTTCTAGGTGCAAAGATGACTGCAGATGCAGACTGTGGCCAGGAAATCAGGAGACGCTTACTTTTTGGGAGGAGAGCAATGACCAATCTCGATAAAATGGTGAAGAGTAGAGACATCACACTGGCAACAAAGATCTGCATAGTTAAAGCAATGGTATTCCCTGTAGTAACCTACGGATGTGAGAGCTGGACCTTAGGGAAGGCTGAGCGAAGGAAGATAGATGCTTTTGAGCTGTGGTGTTGGAGGAAAGTGCTGAGAGTGCCTTGGACCACAAGAAGATCCAACCAGTCAATACTTCAGGAAATAAACCCCGACTGCTCATTGGAGGGAAGGATATTAGAGGCCAAGATGAAGTCCTTTAGCCACATCATGAGAAGACAAGAAAGCTTAGAGAAGACAATTATGCTGGGGAAAATGGAAGGAAAAAGGAAGAGGGGCCGACCAAGGGCAAGATGGATGGATGGCATCCTTGAAGTGACTGGATTGACTCTAAAGGAGCTGGAGGAGGTGACGGCCGACAGGGAGCTCTGGCGTGGGTTCTGGTCCATGAGGTCACAAAGAGTTGGAAACGACTCAATGAATGAACAACAACAACAACAACACTAGGAAAGCCACTTTCAATGGGGGTTTCAACATCTGATAAAGTATAGAAAATATTCACTACATCTTAAGTGGTTGATGTTCCGATCTGGCAAAAAGGCAGCTTCATATTTACACAAACGTGAGACTCTCCATTAACATGTAAGACTTTTACATATAGAGATATTAATTGGGGATGGCAAGTGACTATGCCAAGATGTTCTTTCCAGAGACGTCTACATCCAATTAAAGGAGAAGGTGCCTGTGTGTTACCACCTGGATACAGATCTTCAGTTATTCCTACCAATTCTTTGTAAACTGATTAATGGAAGGAACTATGCATTAATACTTTGGCACAAAGCAACACAAGGTGGCAGCAAAGTCTCCTTCAGGTCAGGTTTAAATCAAACAAAAAACACATCCTTATTTTGGTCATAGACTAATAGATTTAAATCCTATAAGTGACACCAGGTGAGAATGGTGTCAGTAAACATTTTAAAAGAGGTAAAATCAAAAATAATGAGCAACGAGTGAAACACAAAAGTGAAAATTCAAGAAGAAAGGGGGAGAAATCACCTTGTTTGGGGCATTAAAGACAAAATGAGGCAGGGAAAAGACAGTACTCTGTTCAGCACTTTATCCACTTTGACGGCCCTATGATATACACAGTTGCACTATCCCTTGCCCAGCCCTTTTATAGTTGGTTGTGCCCACTTTGTAATTCTGGCCATCGGTATTTTGAACCTGTCTGATGGAGCTATATGAAATCGGTTTTAAAAATGTTATGTATGTTTTAGTAGGATTTTATGTTTTATTATGTTTATTTTAATTTCAATTTGTCTGTATGGTTTTTCCTTTTTGGCAATTGAATGTTTTGGCTTATATGTTGGAAACCACCCTGAGTTTATATATCGGAAATAGAGCGATATATAAATAAAGTTTTGTTTATTTATGTATTATTATTATTATTATTATTATTATTGACACAAAAGCACAGTATGCCACAGCAAACGAGATCTATATGCTGGATTTCGTATCACAAAATCACAAGCCGAACATTATTATTATTATTATTATTATTATTATTATTATTATTATTATTATTACACTTTGATAAATGCTTTGGCTTGGAGGAGGGAGTCAGTTTGTTTTTAATGTTTTAATGTACTTTTTATATTTTTATTTTATTTAAAAAGGAGGAAGAGACGGCTGGGGGATTGGGGGATTATTTTAGTGTAGTTTTGCTTGTTTTAGTTTAGTGCCGGTGGAGTTTTTTTAAAAAAAAAATCTTGTTTCTTGTGTGTGGAGAGATTCAAATTCCATTTTTGAAAATGTGATGAAAGTTAAGTAAAAAAAATAAAATTGCAAGAACAGATTTTCACCAGCAAAACAGGAAGAGGGTGTGAAGGAGCCTGGAAGGGGTTCCAAGAAGCAGGGTCAAATGAGGGCAAGACAGCAGCATTGTTGTGCTAGAAAGATTTGATGTGGAGGTGGAGCCTATGGTGGGGCGCAAGAGTTAAGCCTCAGACATTTGAGCACAAGGCAACACCCATTCCTCTCCCTTCCTAGATTTGCGAATGGAACCCAGAAGTATTTTTTTAAATGCTTGCATTTCTCCTGCAACTGGTACAAGGAGGCAGGACAGAATCACTTCTGTGTACCAATGCATGGCATGAATGCTGCACTATAAGCAGCAAAGCTAAATGTTTCTGTATGCCGAATAGGACAAATCCACATTGCCCCCCATCCTCTCCCTCCCTCCCTCCCTCCCTTTATCTCTCTCTCTCTCTCTCTATATATATATATATATATATGGTGCATCCTGGTGGCACAGCGGGTTAAACCAGTGAGATGCTGAACTTGCTGACCAAAAGGTTGGCAGTTCAAATCCGGGGTGCGGAGTGAGCTCCCGCTGTTAACCCCTGCTTCTGCCAACCTAGCAGTTCGTCATCCAAATATGAGTAAATCAATAGGTATTGATCCAGCAGGAAGGTAACAGTGTTCAATGCAGTTATGCTGGCCACATGACCTTGGAGGTGTCTATGGACAACGCCAACTCTTTGGCTTAGAAATGGAGATAGGCACCACCCCCCAGAGTCAGACACAAGTAGACTTAATGTCAGGGGAAACCTTTAACTATCACACACACACACACACACACACATTATTATTATTATTATTATTATTATTATTATTATACTTTATTTGTACCCCGCTAGCATCTCCCGAAGGACTCGATGCGGCTTACACGGGCCGAAGCCTCAAAACACAATACAATAGAAAACATAACACAACAATAAACAAAGCAAATCAAAACAATTAAGCAAAGTAACCACAATGACAAAACATCAAGACACTATTAAAAACTGGATCGGCCAGCGCAATGGGGTACAGGGTTAAAAGTGCTGAGATGGCAGGAGGAACGTAGGATTAAAGTGCGGTGTGCAGCCACATTAGTTGTGCCAAGGTGCATCTAGGACTTGGGATGGGGATTCCTAATCTGCGAAGGCACATCGGAACAGCCAAGTTTTTAGGTTCCTTTTGAAAACTGCTAGAGTAGGGGCCTGACGGAGCTCTTTTGGAAGGGCATTCCAAAGTCGGGGGGCCGCCACAGAGAAGGCCCTGTCCCGCGTCCCCACCAAGCGCGCTTGCGACGCAGGTGGGATCACGAGCAGGGCCTCCCCAGATGACCGGAGCGAGCGTGTGGGTTCGTAGGTGGAGATGCGGTCACGCAGGTAGGGTGGTCCCAAACCGTTCAGGGCTTTGTAGGTGATCACCTGCACCTTGAATTGGGCTCGGAAAATAAATGGCAGCCAGTGGAGCTCCTTAAACAGAGGGGTAGACCTCTCTTGATAATGAGCTCCAGTTAGCATCCTAGCTGCTGCCCGCTGGACCAATTGAAGTTTCCGAGCCGTCTTCAAGGGCAGCCCCACGTAGAGCGCATTGCAGTAATCCATTCTAGAGGTGACCAAGGCGTGGACCACCCCGGCCAGATCTGCCTTCATGAGGTACGGTCGCAGCTGGCGCACAAGTCTCAGTTGTGCAAAGGCCCTCCCGGATACCGCCGACACCTGAGCCTCAAGTGTAAGCGAAGAATCCAAGAGGACACCCAAACTGCGGACCTGTGGCTTCAGGGGGAGTGTAACCCCGTCCAACACAGGTTGCCACCCTATACCCCGATCCGGTTTACGATCGACCAGGAGGACCTCTGTCTTGTCGGGATTGATCTTCAGCTTGTTCTTCCTCATCCAGATCGACACAGCGGCCAGGCACTCGTCCAGCACCCGAGAAGCCTCCTTGGAGTTAGGTGGAAAGGAGTAGTAGAGTTGTGCATCATCCGCATAAAGATGGCACCCAACTCCAAAACTCCGGATGACCTCTCCCAGCGGTTTCATGTAGATGTTGAAGAGCATGGGCGACACACACACATACCTTTGAGCATATATACACACACACACAGAGAGAGATAGATAGATAGATAGATAGATAGATAGATAGATAGATAGAGAGTTACCTTTGAGAATTAATTTACAGAAGGACACTAGCTACTTATATTACATTAAAATGTTTTTTTGTTTTGTTTTTGTTTTTACTATGGAGCTCCAAGGAAAAATAAAGACGGTTTCATAAACTGTGAACAACAACATTTCAGACCGGTATGAGCTTAATTTGATATAGTTGGCAATCTACCTTGTTCAACAATCCTTGCCTTTTTTTAGCGCAACCTCAAACCCCAACAGGAAAGAACACAGGAGACAGGCGTAAGGAGAAAAGCAGGTCCGTAGGAGTAAAGCACTCACATTGAATTCCTCGCGGAAAAGTTTGTTGTCATCTGCCATGCGCCGGTTAATTTCCTCCTCCAGTTTATCAACAGGCAGCGGAGGGTACTTTCTGTTGGTGCTGGGAGAGCGGGCAAGCAGCGGCATGCTCTGAGGCTCTGCATCACAAACAGGGAAAAGAAGAATGTAGCCTTTAGCCTGTTAAGAAGGACAAAGGCCCTTTCCAGGTGGTTTGCTTTGCATTCCCCCAGACAAATGAGTGGTTCCAACATGGAACAGTAGCAGTGGAACAAGGGAGGTCTTCAAAGAAGGAACAGCCTGGTTGAGGACACATGCATTTCCTCTCCTCGTGCTGGCCTTTGCCAAGATAGGGAAAAGAAGATATGTAAATACAAATCCCTCAATAAAGTGAAATACTTTGTCTCAAAAATGAAGCAAAAACATAATCTGTTTCCCTTATGGATTTATTTATTATTATTTATTTACGACATTTATATGCCCCCTTCTTACCCCAAAGGGGACTCAGAGCGGCTTACAAGATATATATACATATAATATATTATATTATTAGCATAATACAGTATTAAATATTACTATATTGTTTTATACCATTATTTTGTAATATTATTAGTAACATTACATGTAATATAAATAGATAATTATAATATTGTATTATTATTATTAGTAGTAGTATATTGCATTACATTATATTATATTATATTACATTAATTTACTGTATTTGTATACCACCTTTCTCAGCCTCTCGGCGACTCAAGGTGGCTTACAGGAAACAAGTAATACACATAATATCAAAATGCACATAAAAACAATATAAAACCACAACAGAAATAATAAGCAACAGCTAGGAGACAGGTGTTTTTAAAGACTCTTCCTCAGTCCCCTTTCTCCTCTTAGCTGGCTTGGGGGGGGGGGAGAAGCAGCAGGATTTCCTCCTTCTCCTCCTGAGGTGGCAGGCAGATGTAGTAAGCAACAGCCAGGAGACAGGTGTTTTTAAAGTCTCTTCCTCAGTCCCCTTCCTCCTCTTAGCTGGCTTGGGAGGGGGAGAGTAGCAACAGGATTTCCTCCTTCTCCTGAGGTGGCAGGCAGATGTAGTAAGCAACAGCCAGGAGACAGGTGTTTTTAAAGACTCTTCCTCAGTCCCCTTCCTCCTCTTAGCTGGCTTGGGAGGGGGAGAGTAGCAGCAGGATTTCCTCCTTCTCCTCCTGAGGTGGCAGGCAGATGTAGTAAGCAACAGCCAGGAGACAGGTGTTTTTAAAGACTCTTCCTCAGTCCCCTTCCTCCTCTTAGCTGGCTTGGGGGGGGGGGGGGGGGGGAGTAGCAGCAGGATTTCCTCCTTCTCCTCCTGAGGTGGCAGGCAGATGTAGTAAGCAACAGCCAGGAGACAGGTGTTTTTAAAGTCTCTTCCTCAGCCCCTTCCTCTTCTTAGCTGGCTTGGGAGGGGGAGAGTAGCAGCAGGATTTTCTCCTTCTCCTCCTGAGGTGGCAGGTAGATGTAGTAAGCAACAGCCAGGAGACAGGTGTTTTTAAAGACTCTTCTTCAGCCCCCTTTCTCCTCTTAGCTGGTTTGGGGGCATATTTAACATCCAAATACAATATATTTGGATGTTAACAGATAATGCTCAGCGAGCTCTGCTACATCCTAATTCAATTGACATTCTGAGTTCCTGGCTAACATGCTAAGATCTGACCCAGATGCACTTGACTTAACCCATGGGAAGAGAGAGGCAGTATTTCATGGGAATGGAGTATTACAGAGCTAATTGGCACTTTTTTTCATGTCAGGAGCGACTTGAGAAACTGCAAGTTACTTCTGGTGTGAGAAAATTGGTCGTCTAAAAAGATGTTGCCCAGGGGACGCCCGGATTTTTACCATCCTGTGGGAGGCTTCTCTCATGTCCCTGCATGAGAAGCTGGAACTGACAGACAGGAGCTCCCCCTGCTCCCCAGATTCGAACCGTTGATCTTTCGATCATCAGTCCTGTCAGCACAAGGTTTTAACCCATTGCTCCACCGGGGCCTCCTATATTTATTAATTTATTTATTTACTTTACTTATATACCGCTGTTCTCAGCCCGGAGGCGACTCACAGCGGTTCACAACACACAAGAAACAGCAAAATTCAATGCATCAATATAAAAAACAGTTAACAACCTAATCTAAAACACAATTAGTACACAATTACTATAATAACCATTCACTAGCTTCTCATCACTAAAAAAAACATGATCCAGATTCGTCATCCATTGTTCCATTCCTATGTCATTACCATTCATAGCACTAATTATTGGAACGCCTGCACAAATAACCAGGTCTTTACTTTTTGCGGAATACCATTAGTGATGGTGCTAATCTAATGTCTGTGGGAAGGGCGTTCCACAGCCGGGGAGCCACCACCGAGAAGGCCCTATCTCTCATCCCCGCCAGCCGTGCTTGTGAAGCTGGCGGGATCGAGAGCAGGGCCTCCCTGGAAGATCTCAAAGTCCTGGTGGGTTCATAGGCAGAGATGCGGTGGGATAGGTAGCTTGGGCCGGAACCGTTTAGGGCTTTAAAGGTCAACGCCAGCACTTTGAATTGAGCCCGGTAGCAGATCGGTAGCCAGTGGAGTTGGCGCAGCAGGGGGGTTGTATGCTCCCTGCGTTCCGCTCCTGTTACAATCATGGCTGCCGAGCGTTGGACTAGTTGAAGCTTCCGAGCCGTCTTCAAAGGCAACCCCACGTAAAGAGCGTTGCAGTAATCTAGGCGGGATGTAACCAGAGCGTGGAGTACCGTGGCCAAGTCAGACTTCCCAAGGTACGGGCGCAGCTGGCGCACAAGAGCTAACTGGCACAGTAAGACAGGGATTGGCAAAACTACAAATACCTGAATTCCATAGAACTGAGCCATGGCAATTAATGTTTTGTCAAATTGCTATAATTATGCGATATGGCTATAGAATGGATATCGATATAGAATGCCAAGTTTGCAAACTTTGCATTTTTTAATGCAATGCAACTGTTTGGTTTGCTCCTGACACGATACATATATACAGAAATAGTCTGCAAAGCAGTTATTTGTGATGTCAAATATAGTAATGGGAAGCTACAGTGCATTTCAAAAGTATATTGCCTATCACAGAGGCCTGTAGCTTTTTGGATCATTATGGTCTTTTCCTGGCTTCAAGATGGCGATAACTCTTGCTTTCCTCCAGATTTTGGGGATCTGACAGGATGCAGTGCAGTTGTTCATCAGCTCCAGCAGCCAATAGTGAAAGGACCAAGGCAGTGACATCTCCAGCTCATCCCTTGTTTGGGTATCAGCCATCACATCAATGACTTAAATCAAGAAATAGTTTTCTTAGATCTACAGAGACACTTGCTGGAACACCTCAGCAAGCGAGAGTTCAAAAGTGGCAGGTTCAAACCCAGCACCTCAATCCGTGGGTTTGTTGTTGTTGTTTTTTGTCGTGTCAGGAGCGACTTGAGAAACTGCAAGTCGCTTCTGGTGTGAGAGAATTGGTTGTCTGCAAGGACGTTGCGCAGGGGACGCCTGGATGATTTGATGTTTTTATCATCCTTGTAGGAGGCTTCTCTCATGTCCCCGCATGAAGAGGTGGAGCTGATAGAAGGAGCTCATCCGTCTCTCCCCGGATTTGAACCTGCGACCTGTCGGTCTTCAGTCCTACCACCCACTGCACCACCGGGGGCTCCTGGGTGGGTGATACCAGATGAGAGACTCCCCCCTGGGCACACAGAAGACGGGGCGACTTGGAAGGCGCTGAACAGACTGCGCTCTGGCACCACGAGATGCAGAGCCAACCTCAAGAAATGGGGCTACTAAGTGGAATCCACAACATGTGAGTATGGAGAGGAGCAAACCACTGACCACCTGCTGCAATGCAACCTGAGCCCTGCCACATGCACAATGGAGGACCTTCTTGCGGCAACACCAGAGGCACTCCAAGTGGCCAGATACTGGTCAAAGGACATTTAATCAACTACCAAGTTTGCAAAATTTGTGTTTTTTTATCTGTTTGTTTGTTTTGTTCTGTTAGAAATGTAATACAATGGTCTGGTTGCTGATGACACGATAAATAAAATCACAGAGGCCTCCAAATTACAATTTCTTGAGTTCTGAAAATGGGAAGTTTGGGTAACCTGGAAGATCTGAGATCCCGGTCATGAAACAAAACAGTTGAGGGAGAAGGGTATGTGGCCCCAGGGCTTCTCCTTGCCCACCCCAGTTATGAGAGAGAGATGCACAAGAAAACCATGTTCTGGGGCTCTGAGGAAATGGGCTGCTACACAATGGTTTTCTCAAAATCAATATCAGTGCAAATTTGCAAGGCTAAAGAGGCAACACATCCACACAATCTTTTGAGAAAATGAGATGGGCCAAGGACAAGGAGGGCCACTTTTGGATTTTATCTTATGGATTACTCACCCATGTCATCTGTCCGACCGTTCGACAAATGAAAGGAATTGGAATGACTCCCAGCTTGCTTGTACTTTTTGAACCTATGAATAATATGGTACAAAAAAGCAGCTGAAACAAGTTCATATCTGAGTGCCTAACAAGTCATTTGAAAATTGGGTTGCGGTGAGTTTTTCGGGCTGTATGACCATGTTTATTTATTTATTTATTTACTTTATTTATATACCACTTTTCTCAGCCCTCAGGCGACTCAAAGCGGTGAACAACATCGATACAAAACATCACGAGACAAGTATAGGGCAATTAAAAACAATTGTAACATAAAACAGAAGCATTCTCTCCCGACATTTCACCCACATCCACAGCAGGTATCCTCAGAGGTTGAGGGGTCTGATGGAAACTAGGCAAGTGAGATTTGTATATCTGCGCAATGTCCAGGGAGGGGGAAAGAACTCGTGTATGCTTGAGGTAAGTGTGAATGTTGCAATTGGCCACCTTGATTAGCACAATGGCATTGTAGTTTCAAAGCCTAGCTGATTGCTGCCTGGGGGATCCTTTGTTCCCCTGTTTTTTGAGTGTTTCTCTTTATTTATTGTCCTGATTGATTGAATTCCAGACAAGAATCAATCAGGGCCAGCTGACATCTCCCAACACAAGATTCCCCCAGGCAGCAATCAGCCAGGCTTTGAAGCTGCAAGGCTATTCAATGCTAATCAAAGTGATCAATGGCAACATTGTCACACAATTATGTATTAATTCTTGTCTGGAATTCCTCTGTTTTCTGGGTGTTGCTCTTTATTTACTGCCCCGATTTTAGAGGTTTTTTTTTTTTAATACCGGTAGCCAGATTTTGTTCATTTTCATGGTTTCCTCCTTTCTGTTGAAATCGTCCACATGCTTGCCGATTTCAATGGCTTCTCTGTGTAGTTTGACATGGTGGTTGTAACAGTGATCCAGCATTTCTGTGTCCTGGACACAGCATAGTATTTGAGAACACAGAAATGCTGGACCATTTCAAGAGAAATGTGGGCAATTTTAGTAGAAAGGAGGGAACCATGAGAACTAACAAAATCTGGCTACTAGTATTAAAAAATACTCCAACATCAGGACAGCAAATATAAAGCAACACTCAGAAAACAGGGGAAATCCAGACAAGAAACAACCAGGGCCAGTTAACATCTTCCAACAAAGGATGCCTCCATGCAGGAAGCAGCCATGCTTTGAACCTGCAAGGCCATTCAATGCCAATCAAGCTGGCCAATGACAACATTCACACTTGCCTCCAACAGACAAGAGTTCTTTCTCCCACCCCGGAACATCATTCTACAGATATATAAATCCCACTTTCCTAGTTTCTAGCAGACCTCACAACCTCTGAGGATGCCTGCCATAGATGTGGGCGAAATGTCAGGAGAGAATGCTTCCGGAACATGGCCATATTTATTTATTTATTTACTTACTTCATTTGTATACCGCTCTTCTCAGCCCTTAGGCGACTCAGAGCGGTTAACAACAACAGTTTCTAGGTTCTTGTGGGTTTTTTCGGGCTATATGGCCATGTTCTAGAGGCATTTTCTCCTGACGTTTCGCCTGCATCTATGGCAAGCATCCTCAGAGGTAGTGAGGTCTGTTGGAGTTAGGAAAATGGGTTTATATATCTGTGGAATGACTGGAGTGGGCAAAGAGCTCTTCTCTGCTGGAGCTAGGTGTGAATGTTTCAACTGACCACCTTTATTAGCATTTGAAGGCCTGGCTGAGCCTGGGGGAATCTTTTGTTGAGAGGTGTTGAAGCAACAGTTTCAATATACACAGTACAAAATCATTGGACATTTAAAAGCAATAGCATAACAATTAATTAAACATCAAACATACAGCCCAGAAAACTCACAGCAACCCAATGATTCTGGCCTTGAAAGCCTTCAACAACACATCTGAGAATTGTATATTTACTCCCTTACCTTTTGCTCCTAAATATTTCCCCCCCAAGGATCTGAACACGACACTTTAAATGTCTCCATGTCATCAGGCCCAGTGGCAAGAAATTTTTAACAAATTTACTGAGCTTGAAATCCTAATTGCTAAAGATACGATTTATTTCACATCCCAAATCCTGGGATATTTGACACTTATAAGCATGAAATTGCGTCTGAGACAGAACGTGTGAAAGATATTAAAGAGTAAGCCTGTTATCCTCACACCTTTATGACAGATTGGGCTCTTACGCATACGTGTTCGACAGTTAGCCCGCTACACTCAGTCAACACATACAGGAGTGTCCTCACAGCAGCTCAGAAAGTGAGAGACAATCTCAGAACCTCCTAAGAGTTATTGCATTCACTTCCAAAGAGGAAATTTAATTCCTCCTGATAAACCCACTATGCCACTGTCTCCCTTGCACGGTTGGCAACGGAATGCAAAGCAAGGAAACTAAATGGAGGCACTGCTATATGACAAAAATGAAATGCACAGATATACAATAGGTGACACCTAGCTAGAAAACAGTACATGCGAAAGGGATTTAGAAGTCTTACTAGAGCCCAAGCTGAACATGAGTCAATAGTGTGATGCAGCAGCTGAAAAACCCAATGCAATTCTGGTCTGCGTGTATAAAATATAGTCTAAAGATTGAGGGAAGTAATAGCCCCATTATGTTAGTTACAATTTTCAATAATTACATTTTTATTTAAGCTATAGCTGTTATGCTTAAGTTTTATGTTGTGCTATTACATGTGCACTAATTATTATTGAGGCGTTGAATGCTTCCCTTTTGTTTGTTGAAATCTGCCCTGAGCCGCCCCCAGGGGGATACAGCAGAATACAAATTATTATTATTATTATTATTATTATTATTATTATTATTATTATTAATTATTATTATTATTAGTGTCGGGAGCAACTTGCGAAACTGCAAGTTGCTTCTGGTGTGAGAGAATTGGCCGCCTGCAAGGACGTTGCCCAGGGGACATCAAGATGCTTTGATGTTTTACTATCCTTGTGGGAGGCTTCTCTCATGTCCCCACATGGGGAGCTAGAGCTGACAGAGGGAGCTCATCCGAGCTCTCCCCAGATGTGAACCTCCGACCTGTCGATCTTCAGTCCTGTCAGCACAAGGGTTTATCCCATTGCCCCACTTGGGACTCCTATTATTATTATTCTTATTATTCTGTTTTGGTCAGACCTCACTTGAAATACTGTGTCCAGTACTCGGTACCACAATTGAAGGAGAACATTAACACGCGAGAATGTGTCCAGAGAAGGGCGAACAGAATGGCCAAAGGTCTGGAAGTTGAGTCTTACAATCACTTAGTGAGCTAGGTATGTTTGGCTTGGAGAAAAGTGGACTGAGAGTGGACATGATAAAAGGTCAAGGTTTCCCCTTGACATTAAGTCTAGTCGTGTCCGACTCTGGGGGTTGCTGCTCATCTCCATTTCTAAGTCAAAGAGTCGGCTTCCATAGACGCCTACAAGGTCATGTGGCCAACATGACAGCATAGAACTCTGTTACCTTTCCGCCAAAGTGGCACCTATTGATCTATTCACATTTGAATGTTTTTGAACTGCTAGGTTGGCAGAAGCTGGGGCTAACAGCGGGAGCTCACCTTGCTCTCTGGATTCAAACCGCTAACCTCTCAGTCAGCAAGTTCAGCAGCTCAGCAGTTTAACCCGCTGCACCACTGGGGACTCCCAGGAAACATGATTGTCAGGTTTAAATATTTAAAAGGAGGTCACACTGAGAAGAGGGAAAGCTTGTTTTGATGCTCTGCAGACTAGGACACAATAGAGCGATGGATTCAAATTGCAGGAAGAGGATTCCATCTAAACATTAAGAAGAATTTTGTGACAGTAGGAGCTGTTCAACAGTGGGATATAATAATAATAATAATAATAATAA